TAGATACGGCTTGATTGCCAGCCCAGCCCAGCCATGTTGTGTGCTCTTGCCCGCGGTCCCCACCACCTTAAGGTGGCGGCCGTCTACTACAATCTCTCCGACTTGCTATGCACAAGTCGCGGCTGTGCCGTCCTGGCTGTACGCCTAGCGTCCGGCCATGGCAGTGGCAGTGCCAGCAGGAGAAGCAGCAGCCACCAGCACCAACATCATCATCATCAACAACAACCCCGCCGAGAACTGCTGTGAGTGAGAGAGATAAGAGCTGTTAACAAACTTGTGTAACCCCTCCAAGGCATGTGCCATGTTCCATGCCCAGTGCCCACTTTTGATACCGACTCGTTCAATCTAAATCCATATGCATACATTAAAACACGGCCACGATTAGATATGCCTCCGCCTTGTCCAAGTACTATCGTACTTAGCCATAACAAGCAGTGACTGTGGACAATTTCATTCATGCTATTCACACAACAATTGCTGCAACAATTTGTTATAAATTATTTGATTCGTGATTTGATTCCACCCTTCCAGTTGCCGACCGTCCCGTTCTGGTGTCCAAAGTTCCAAATTAGCAGTAAGAACATTTCACTCAGAGCCAGTCGCGATGTTCTACTCGATGTACGCGTACCTCTCAAACCTGCCGCGTCTTCATGTGCTCGGCCTGGCCATTATTGCCTATGTCGTCTATTACCTAATCCAGGTGGTCAAGGTGAGTGTGATGTCGTCATTTCCCGTGGCTGACTAATGCGGTATAATTACAGCGACCTATAATCGCTTGTTCGGACGGGCCGTTCAAGCAGTACCTGATTCGGAAGGTGCCCACCCTGGAGAACAAGTACTGGCCTACTTTCTGGTGCGTTGAGAGCCGTGCCCAGACCGTTCTTGCGAGCCTGCTGCGCTCCAAGAGTCTGCCCCGTATCAATTACCGCCGCGAGATACTCTGCCTGAAGGATGGCGGAGAGGTGGCTCTGGACTGGATGGAGGAGGGTTGCAACGCGAATGCCCCTTGCATTCTGATACTGCCCGGACTGACCGGCGAGTCGCAGGCGGAGTACATCAAGTGTCTGGTCCTCGCAGCCCAGCAGTCCGGCATGCGCGTGGTGGTCTTTAACAATCGCGGCCTCGGCGGCATTGAGCTGAAGACGCCACGGCTCTATTGCGCCGCCAATTGTGAGGATCTGTGCGAGGTGGTCAAGCACGTGAGGAAAGTCTTGCCGGCTCACTGCAAACTGGGGGCCACAGGCATCTCCATGGGCGGCCTGATATTGGGCAACTATTTGGCGCGCAAGAGCGAGGAGGCCCGCAGCATTCTGTCGGCGGCCAAGATCATCTCTGTGCCGTGGGATGTCCACAAGGGCAGCGCCAGCATTGAGAAGCCAGTGATTAACAGCTTGCTGGGTCGCCATCTCGCTGGCAGCCTGTGCCGCACGCTGCGCAACCACTTGGACATTTACAGGGACATCTACCAGGACTCCGACATTGACATACAGCGGATCCTGCGCTGCACGACCATCAAGGAGTTCGACGAGCTGTTTACCGCCAAGCAGTTTGGCTATGCCCATGTCAACGACTACTACTCGGATGCCACGCTCCACAACAAGCTGGATCACATCTCAGTGCCGCTCCTCTGTCTGAGTGCTGCCGATGATCCGTTCCAACCGTTGGACGCCATCCCCGTCAAGGCTGCCAATCAGTGCACCCATGTGGCAATTGTTATCACGGCGCGTGGAGGCCACATCGGTTTCCTAGAGGGCTGGTGGCCGTCCACAAGGGATCAATACATGGGTCGACTGTTCACGGAGTACTTTACCAAGGCCCTCTTTGACGAGGATGGCGAGTTTCAGCACACCTCCGACAAAATGCACGAACGCTTTCTAGCCAAAGAGACCGTGGCCCTGGCTGCGTCCCCTCTGTTGTTGGACAAAAAGGTGGTAGTGGTGGACCATCTGGACCACAAGGTCAAGCTGACGTAGAGGCTGCTTGATGAGATGAGATGATGATGCTCGCAATACTCTTGCTCAACTATTGCCTAACTAGAGGCGTTTCGTTTCCTTACGATAAACTACAAAAATATATACAAAATTACCTGCGCATACATAAACTCCGTTTGCGATTCCGAAGACTTTCCGAACACATGTGATAGATTAGCTGAATAGTTGTATGAAACAAACAATTAATCATAATAATCCGAATCCAAAGTGTTGTAATACTCAGTAAGTCAAAAGTCAGTCAGGGAACAGAACCTCACAGAACAGGGACAACATTCGACAGTTGAAATGCATATGTAGATGCTTAAATTAATAATAGTATTCGTGACATTAGGTACATATCAGATTGGAATAGAGACAAAAAGCTTTACGATTCTTAGAGGTAAATTCAATAAAAATATATATGACACAATGCAATAATCTTATATTTTTACAAACTCCGTATATTTAACTAATAAAAAATACAACGCTTAATAAAGAGAACAAATAAAATACACATCCCATGCGTTATTAGTAGATTTGACAGGGGTGACACGAGTAGATATGGATTACCAATAACACCCTCTCAATAAAACCCGATTCCTACAGCTAAAAGAGACAGTTGGCCATCGTCTAAATGGGCTTGTAGAGCAGCGTCGTCACGTACTTCTTGCGATAGCGATGCGTGGCACTCAGCACCATGACCCCCTCCTTGATGGATAGAGCATACAAGTGATTCAGCATCACATGGTTCGGCTCAGGCAACAATGTGGGCTCGCACTGCAACAACGTGGGGTAAAAGAGATCCAATTAAGATGAGATGCTTATCGGTATAGAGCGGCTAGTGAGTAACTCACCGAGAGGGGAGTGTCCTTGTTGAGAATGACCTGCAGCAAGTGGGGCGGCAGCACTGGGGGGCCGGACACTTTCTCCCAGGGCTTGGCCTGCGGCACCTCCTGCGAGTACTCCTTCTCCGCATAGTTGGTCACGTTCTCGCTGTCTTTGGCCAGAGCTTGAAATACCTCGAAATCAGATGGCCGCACAGACACCAAATTGTTCTTCTCCCCCTCATCGTTGTCCACACTTTTCTGTAATGCAAAACCAATGAGCAATGGCAATTGATTGTAATTATAGTTTCCATTCCATTTCACTACAGTGGTGGCTACATATATTAGTACACATTACTTGTGTACTTACTTTGTTGTTAGGTAATGTTTACATTTTTCTCCCACTAAAAACAAATGAAGCCAAAAATGAGGAGGAAAAATGGCCAAATGCGCATCTCTAGACCCCTTCCTCTCACATTGACACCCAATAGAGATTACGCTGGGGCTTTCGCTCTTGTTTACTGCGATTACACAACAGCAGTAACGAAAATCAGTAACTGCGTCATTTGAGTGGTGCCTCAAAGAATATCGATTTTCCCTAATTGACTCACCAGCTTGGGATCGTGTGTCCATTCGCCGTCCACACAGAATTTGTACTGGTGGTCGCCCTCGGGCAGATCGATGATGGTCACAAAATTTCCATGGCTGCGGACCATTGTGATGGGCTTCCAATTGGAGAAGGTGCCTGAAATGGTCACGTTCTTGCCGCCGCCATCCCAGCGAAGGACTGTGGGCAGGGCGGTTTTCCTTATCTCGTCGTCGTCATCGCCAGCCCCAGCCCCAGCCAGCGGGGGCAGCAGTGATCCAGCGGCCTGCTGCTCCTCTTCGGTGTTATCCATGATTAACTTCTCTCCGCTGCTACTGCGTAGAACAGCTGTTGATTCGCTGCTATCAGCTGTGCGCTTAGCTGCCGCTACCGCTCCCGCGCCCGTATAATACGGGTCGTCGTCGTCTTGCGATGAGCCTTCGTTCAAGACTGCAGTATGTTTTTTGTCGAACGAGAAAGCTTGGCCTCCCGCTCCAGTTCCAGCCAAAGCTGCACTCCCGCCATGTGCCCCAGCACCCCCAGCACCACCGCCAGCTGCGCTTGAAACCGAGTCACGAAAATGTGCGGGAGAACTTGGCGTTGAGAGGTCAGTGGATTTGTGGCGCTCTCGCATATGGACGGTGGAGCTGCCCGCGTTGCCCATATTATATATAATATTTCAGTTATTGCCGTTTTCGCAGTCTCTCTAGAAGGTTATGGCTCGGCTCGCCTCTTCACGAACTCAATTCTCTTGCTGTTTTTGGCACTTTGTTTTCCTTGACTCGTCTCTCTCGTTTTTCGCTTATTCGCTCTTTCGTTTCCGCGTTTTGTTTGGTCCAATAAACTATTACGGCTCGGAGTTATGATTTGTTTTGTTGCAAAAGCAATATTTGGCATTTAACGTGCAGAAAACTGCATTAGTTAATTATTATTATTTATTTAATTATTTAATCTTGTTACGCTCGGAACCCCGGGTTGCTAGCAAAGCTATCGATTTAGTATCGATAGCTGAAACGCATTTGTGAGAAAATAAATGAGTAGATGAATTTTCTGTTCCAGGTCCCCATGTCCTTCGGCAGGTGTGGGATATAGCGATTAACCAATTGGAGGCCTGAATTGCAGGAGTGGAGTCAATGGAGTGTTTTTTCTTTTATTTTTTAGTATGGAATTAATATTCCGTACACGCTCACCACCAGTTCCACCGTGCCAACTGTGGATACACTTTCCGATCTGTCAAACGCCCCAGAACTTCCTTCCGATACAATATCTTCTGCAGATTCCTCCTCTTCCTATTTAGGGGTATTTTAAGGCCGTTAAGGATATTATTTCAACAAAATCGATAGTACCAAAAGTATCGATATCGTCAAAAATTAACATTAAAATATCGGTACTATTGTGCGATAACTGCAACTTATATTCGTTTTATTTTGAAATAGCATCCGATATTGAAATAACAAACACAACTGGAATAGAAAACAAAATGTGTATGTCTCCACTGGATCTCCTATGTGTCTCGATCCCCGAGTACTTAATGATCCAAAAATCAATCATACTCATTATTGATTAATTGCATGTTTATATATGTCATATATTTGTACTAACGAGCAAGTACATTTCATGCTTGAATAGTTTAATTGTTTTCATTCGGTTTGGCTTGAATTTCAATATTATGCCCTCTCTTCAATAGGGGACATTATTTCATACCAAAACTCGTCTTCAAGGGAATGTTTTCGCGGGTACGATGGAGCGCAAGGGCATCTATGATTCGATTTGGGAAAGTTTTAAATTTTCCAAATTTATTATGCCCGAAATGAAATCCACCAAGTTTTTCAATTGTCACGTAACAATGGCCGCGTTCAAATCGTTTTCACTTATAGTCCTGATTGTTCTTGCATGTGCAGTGGCTGGTGTAAGCAAGGGGATGGATCTAGGATCTTTGGGTTCTGTTTTGGAAACCACTTGCTGACTATATACCTCTTTCAGGTTAGCTGCAAATTCGAGTTCACCAACCTGAAATGTACGACCTTGGAACAGGAATTTGTAGAGTTTGACAGGTGTTTTCTAAAGTCTGTCAACCGGACCTACAAATACCTCACCGTTAGCACCAAGATCCACGTGCTCCCGTTAAACAGTGCATCCGTTAGTTGTTTCTTCCATTTAAACTTCGATCGTTCCCATCACCAAGTGTCCTTCCAGATCCAGACGCAAGTGCTCAAGCGGTTGAACGGCTACAAGCCATTTCTCTTTAACTTCACAACCGACGCATGCATGGTTTTTGGTGGAAAAATGAATCCGACGACTCGATTCTTCTTTGGACTAATGGCCCCCTACTCGAACATGAACCATTCCTGTCCCTACGATGTGAGTTTCGGCCATAGCGATCATACATTGCCACTCGACTGATGGTTTCCACTGCATTATTCCACAGCATGACATTATTGTAGAGAAGCTTCCGATCAGCTTTCTGAACGAGCAACTCACCAGAGTTCTGCCATTTCCGGAGGGTGATTACTGCGTCAAAAATGTATACTCGTTCGGTGGAAAACCACGAGCTCAGACCGAGGTACACGTACACATTTCCTAAATTGAACAGTAAACAGACATACCATAGATGTATCACTTCATACAAGCACCTAACCATACAGCATATTAGATTTGCCAGTTCAGCAGATTTTGAAGCGAGAGCTCCCAAATCGCATTGAGAGATTTTAGCTTCGGTGTCGAACCGCTCGCCTCTGGGAGCTGTCGCAGCATTTTCTGTTGGGACTTTTCTTTAGCTTGGCCTGTATGAAGTAATACAAATATACGCTATGGAAAAGCTTTCAAGCCAAGCTTCGATTGCGATTGCGAGCAGCTTTGTGTTTTTATCGGGCTTTAGGTGCTGACGGTTGGTGCGCTTCAGTCGGCTTTCTGTTTTGCTGTTAGTTTTGTTTCTCAGCTTTTCTTGTCGGTGTCGTCGGTTCAGTCGTTGCTGAAGCGTGGATTATTTCGATTGTTGCGGTTGTTGTGCAAGTGCAAGGCAAGTCACGTACCCGTACCCGTACCTGCCGTTACAGTAAATAAACCAACAAAAATATACAAATCAATGTAACAAATAATTTACCATTGATGCGGCGATCGTTGATTGATTAACACATCACTCACATACACAAACACACACACACATACACACTGCACTGTTCTGTGTGGGTGTGCATCATCATCTGGCCAAAAATAAACGTTTATAATAATAAAAAGTGCCGCGCGAATTTTATCGTGTGTCGGAGTCCACCGCCAAACAAGTAAACCCACCCGCCACGGCCGCGCGTGCGTGTTGTAACTTTTGATTAGCTTCGGAGTCGGATCGGATCTGAGGCTTCTTCCACTCCAGTGCACCTCCTTGGAACATTGCGCTGCTTGCGTTTTTCATAAGTTATCGCCGCCTACATCTCGTCGTTTCTTTTTGTTGTGGTTCTGACGGAGGTGAGTGTGCCGCCTTCTCGCAGGAATGCCTGTTCTCCGTCTCTCAGTGAATACGAGAGCCGAAATAATCATGTATACGACTATGGGATACACTCAGGATACGATACCTACCCACAGAGCATTTGTGTTTGTTCGATAGATATATAGTCATAGATAAAACTCGTAATAAATGTAGATTCTGTGAAATGTATATTTCTGAACTCTTTGGGAGGAAAACAAGACCCACCCAAGTGTTTAAATTCATTAAAATCCTAGACATGCAGGGATCCACTGGCCTTGTTACAAAAATAATACTCGTAATATCAAGTTTAGACCATCCTTCCGACATCCTATGCAAATACAATATGTATGTACATATATCCCCTGGCCCTCAACAAGTACAGGGTATAAAAAGCAGAATGCCTCACGAGTTTTCGAAATGCTCACTGGAATTGGCAATGCCGATGCGCATTCATTTCGGAATTGCGAATTCCCTGCACATGCCACAAGCGGAAGATGCCATACCATTACCATGGGCAAACAAGTGAAATTTACGACACATATTTTGTAATTATTGGCACAGACCCACACAAAAAACATTTTTAATGCATATTAGCAAGGGGTATGGGATGGGATTGGGATTGGGGATTGTTCTGCGGCTATCGATGTGGGCTGATGCCAGCGGATGCGAATGCCAGCACAGATGAGATCATTTCTAAAACCGATGGCGAGCGAAGACCCAAAGAATTGGCCAAAAAGGCAAATATCTTGTATGCGCTTTGTAAAGCCATTAATCACGCAGCGAAGAGGTGATGTCGAATCCCAGTGCTCGTTCTGGATCTCTGTGAGTCACCTGTATCTTAAAAACCGAACCCGAACCCAAGATCCAAGAACTTCTTGGCTTTCATTAGTCATTTGGAGAATGTTGGCCGGCCTCTCTCTGCCTCTGCCTCTGATTCTATCGCTTGTTCGGCAGCGGAATCTAATTAATTCTCTTCTGATTCCATTAGGGACCCAGTAAGTGTTTGTCTCAGCCAAATGCTGTCCGGCTAATGGCCGATAGATGTGGAGGTCTTTCAGCGCCCCAGTAGAATCGATTGGGCCAAACCGCAGCGTCATCTTTGGATTGGGCGCAGGTGGAAGCCCCAATCAGACAGAAGAGACAGAAGAAGTGACCTTGAGGGTAATAACTCACCCGCGACACCCCGAAACACCCGCGTCTTTCTGTTAGTCATGCCCGGAATGCAGCCGAGCAGCATTGCCAGCTGCAAAGCAGCAGGCCAAAACCGGATGGCATCTACCAGCATAAAATCTAACGTCTAATGCCTAACAGCCACACACACACACACACATGCAGTTCCACGTACTATTATATGTGTGGGCTGCCCACACTACGCGCATACGCAGGTTCTCTACCCTCCATATCATATTTAGGGGCATTATAAAGGTATTAACCGACGCTCGTATAAAGCTTTATAAAGCAAATTCCAGCTGCCGATAAACAAACAAACAAAAAATGCCAATAAGCCGCGTACAGCCCCGAAAAATCACAACAAAAGAGCCAAGAAAAACAACAAAAAGTGAGAATGCGCGAAGGCAAACGAAACCAGAATCAGAATCGTTGTCGGGGCAGGTTTCATCTCTAATGGTCTGCGGGGGGTGGTGGGAGCGGGGGCAGGCACACATCACATTTGGCTAAAAAAAAAACTGGTTAAGAGTACTCACACACACACATACAAACACAGAGAGAGACACTCTACACAGGGGCAATGCGAGGGGCAACCTCAAAGTCGGTCGAAGTCGACTGTAAGGAGGGTGGGGGGGAGGCGGTCCGGTGCTGTTGTTGGTGCTGGTTCCACCTTGAGGCGCATCTTGACTCCTCTCAGAAGTCATTTGGAATTGTCCCAGTCGAACAGAACAGAAATCAATTTGTAATTTATGCACTTGCTCCGCCGACTTCCATTACCCATTACCCATCTCCAGCCAAATCCGTGTCCTATACTCGATCGTATGTGCAATATTTCTGTAGAGTGATTAACATATCGCATTCCAAATCGTTAGCCAAATCGTTTATACTCCCTTGTTTACTCGAATATTTTATTATTCTGTTTACGCTTGCGAGTGCGACTGCGACTGCGAGATGCTGTTTCTTTTGTGCTTGTTGCGAGTTCGTTGCCTAAGTCTTTCGTTTTGGTCTTGAGTTTTTGAGATTGGCATTTGGACGGCGTACATTTCATGGCCATGCTCGTAGATTTGTAAGCAGTCCGTGTAAACGGCCATAATCGCCCATCCAATTACGCAAAGAGCCAAAACAAATGCGGCCGACGGACGAACGGACGGACAGCAATCAATTTCGAGTATTGGTCGGTGGTCGGGGGCTGCTACTCGTACAAATGCGTGAAGCATCCGCTCTGACCTTAGCCACTTGGCTGGCCCGAATCGCAGACCCAATTGCTCTACGAAAAACGATTAGCCAGCACGCAACAACATGGCACAGAAATACAAATACAATACAGAAAGTTGTTTGCATAGTTGATCGAATCTGTTATGTACCCTGTAATGCCCATCTTCACAGGGGCAGAAAGAGAGTTTACCAAAATGTATTATTCAACGGAATTTTCATCAATCCAACTGGAAGTTAGATGAAAGTTATGCTATTCCTCCCATTCCCATTCCCATCCATCCCATCCCCCCGAGCAGCCATCAACAAAGAAATGGAATTTGCCGTTAACGACTTTTGAGCAACAACTTTGTAAAGATTATGTACGTATATATTTATGTATGTATGTATGTATGTATGCCTGGACAGGTTTTTGCAACTCATTAATAAATTAACAGGTGGATGTGACTGCGACTGTAACGCCCCAGCCCCAAAAGATGAATTGCACGATGGAACCCCATCAAAGGGAAGGGCATGATTTAATGTTTATAAATATAATTTACGCTGAGATCAAGTGGAGCTGCTACGCTATACTCTGTGATCCTCCCCTCCTTTGTTATGTACATATGTGGGCACCCCCCTCCCCTTGCCACTGTTAGCTTCTAATACCGAAAGCCCACTCAGCCGAGACGGCCATCATTTAATCTGGCGGCTGTTGCTGTTTCGGTTTCGGTTTCTGTTACTGCCCGACAGATTGCAATGTGATCTTATAGGCAAAGTTTGCTGCGGGTACAACGAACAAATTGTGTGCTTGGAGGGGCACATCTAGAGATCAAGTTTAATGGCCATAAAGCGACAAGCAAAATAAACATTTTGGTTGCTTGTTTGGCGGCGGCGGCGGCAGGGTGAACCCCTGGCCTAACCCCAGCCCTAACCCTGATCCCCAACCAAACCCGTGTAGCTCGTTCTGCCGGATTCTTGTGAAAGTTTTGGTTGGGCAGCGAAACTCATTTGATTTGGGGAGCATACTGAAAGCGAAAGACCCAGCGGCAGCAAAAGTTCCACAAGATTACACGATGGAAAACGGAAATTCAACGGAAAGAGACATCGCTGGATCACCGTTCATATCGCTTTCATAATTGATAAAAAAAAACCATCGAAAGTGACAAGACCCATCCGTTGGTATTGCATTCCGTGGCATACCGAGGCATTCCGCGGCATTCGAGTCGAAATCGAAGGTGAATTAGAAACGCAAACAAAAATACAAAATTACAAAAAAAAAAGCCAATGAAAAACCCCTGGGACAAGTCAACTTTCACTGTCCGCAGGCCGAAGAAGTTTGTGTGGTTGAGTGGTTGTGGATGGACTTCATTAATTAAATTGATTAACGAGCATTAGCACTTGCCACACGATCTGATCTGGCTGCGTTTGCAGCCACCATCGATCGATTGCCGAGCCATTGCCAGAGCTCTAGGCCATAATTATAATGAGCTAACAAAATAATTGTTTGTCAATCAAACATGATCGAAACTGAAATCGTGTTGGGAAATTTCGCGCAAACAGCAGCAGCACTCGCACAAACATTAACACTGTCGTATGTGGAGAGGAGATGGCTTTCGCACCTCCCAGTGGCCTGCGCGTCATGGCCCCTCAAACCCAAAACCAAGTAGCCAGAGTCACATGAACACACAGATCGGCCATCAACAAGGCATGATTGGAAAGTTTGTGTGCCCGGCCAGGCCAGGCTGCCCGCCAAAAGCTTACTTTTTTATTGGGCAATAAAAATCTGCTAATATGGTAGGGCATTCATAGATCTATAGAAATGAGTCCCTCTGCTGTCAGTACACCCTTTTTACCTCCCTCACCCTTGCTTACACAATCGATCTCGCCCCTCACCTCACCGCACTCTGCTCGGCGCAATTGAATTCATTTTAAAATCAATTTCCACTCTTTTACTTAACAATTTTGCACTTACAAGCTGTGGCTGTGCTTTCGGGCATGTTATTCTCTAATTTTGGCCAACTGCAAATGGAAATGGAGCGCTCGCGCATAATTTCGTTAAAGTATTTTTTTTGGTCAAGAGTGTTGTTGGATGTTTGATTGCCAGTAGGAGCGGCCACAGGCAATACACTTGACGCCCCAATTGGAGTCGGAGTCGGAATCGGAGTCCGAATCGGAGGCCGCACTCCCCGCCGATAGCATCGATTTATCGCCATAGCATTAATAGTTGACTATATTTTTGTTTTGGGGCCAGTAACCGGTTTCCGGTACACATAGAAATAGCCACAGATACGGATACAAATACAAATACAGATACAGATACAACCACAACGAAAAATACTCTTGTAGCTGTGGGTTTGTATTTTGAAATTTGTATCTGAGGCCCGAGACATGAATGAGCTTTTCGAATATTTCGTAACCAGTTGGACTGCATTTTTTCCACTCTTCCACTCGGGTCCACTCGTGGGGCGTGCGGAGAGGCGGGGCATGGGGATGGAAATGGAGTAGCGTGGCCAAATGCTTATGTCCGCAGCTATGCCGCGCCATAATCGATATCCCATTGGTACGAAACCAAGTCAAGTGTTCTCCCATCTGTTCAACATCGAACGTATGTGTGTGTGTGTGTGTGTGTGTGTGTCGAATGGAGTGGAGTGGAGTGGAGAGTGGAGTGCAATCGAATTGAGTTTAAGATTTTCAGTTTAATTGCGTGTGAATTGCATTTGAATGGATGTTTTGCTTGGGGTCTGTCTGAAGAGCAGTTTGCTAATTACATTTCAGTTCTAATTAATGGAAATGCCAAGGAACTCGAGACTCAATTCAGTTCAAGTAATTGCCGGGCACTTTACCTGGATGGCAGTAAAGCCAGCTTCAGCTTCAGCTCCAGCTGTAGCTCTAGGCCCAGTTTCAACCCATTTTTCCCTTCGTTAGCGGGAATTTGGCCAACTCATGATGGCACACAGGCCACAGTTGGAACACGCAGACCCATTCAGAGAATACATAGCCAGCCAGCCCCTCGCTCCCACAGCTGCGTCTCCAGCTGTGCGCTCGATTCGAAGTTTTGTTGTGCCCCAAAATGTGTGCTGGGGGAAGGGTGGGGGGCATATTGGATAACTGACGACTGCCGACTGCCGACTGGCATTAAATTTCCCCCATTTGGCCAAGTGGTTTGTTTGTTCTAACCCCCCCTCCCAGCCCAGTCGCCCAGTCGTGGATATCTAGTGCTCCAGATACGCGTCTCCACCTTATTTGAGCACATTTGCTTGACCATCCACCGTATGTGTGTGTGTTTTGTTTTGTTTGTTTATTCTGTTAATTAACATTTTTTACATACTTTTCGATTTGGTTTGCTTCGGTTTCGCTTTGGCCGCCTCAATGTCAAGCCATGTCGCTGCTGTCCGCTCTCAATGCCAGACGATGGCCAAACAAGCAAGCGATGGATGGCTGGCTGGCTGGCTGGCTGGCTGGCTGGCTGGGAGCAATAGTAATCAAAACCAGACGAGGCGGTCACCCAAACTCAAAGCCAAAGCCAAAGCAGCTGTCGTAGCTTTTGCTCGGAAGTTGAGTTGTCGTAACGGTAGCGGCTTATAAAAATATCTCCAACATACATATGTTTATATACTCGTAGCATATGGTAGTAAGTACTCACAGATAGATATTTCTGCGAGGTCTGGCATTGGACAGTGTGACGGGGAGATTAAGTACTGCCTAGTTCTCTCCTCCATCTCTCTCCACCCCACCCAAGAGATGTCACTTGGAAAAGTGGAGCAACAGCAGCAGCAGCAGCAGCCACAACGGCAGCGGAATGGTCAAGAGAGGTTGTCCGCTCCCATTCCCGTGGAGTGGTAGAAATTTTTTGCCAATCAGCAGACAGCGGACAGTGTACAGTGGACAGTGGAACGAGACCAACTAACACCAATTGTCGCTGATTTATCTTTGGGGGCCACAAACACACAGCACAAATTTCATGCAGCATGCAATTTGCCTGTCCAAAACTGTGGCACCACCAACACAAGCAAACAACAAGCAACAATTGTTGGTGTGGTGTGGTGTGGCGTGGTGTGCCGTTCCGTGCCACATTTTGACGCCCATTTCAGCGCCATTTATCAGAGTGCTTGGAGGCATGGAGCAGGTAGCTGCCATTAGGTTTGGGTCTGCTTATTTATGACAATTCATTAGCCAGATTTCTGGGGATTTTGTCTGGCTCAAGTTGAAGTTTGGCCCCGACAGCTGTCACTGGGATCTTTGATTAGTTTGTTGAACGCGGCCCAGGCCTTCGATTTCTCTGCGCTGCAAAGGCGTTGGAAAAGGTACACGGACGGGGGCGGCGATCATTGAACTGCCAGCGAGCCAGCGAGCGAGCGAGCGAGCACTTCACACGCAGCTTAGCCCGCTCCCGGAGCAGATCCCATCGATGGGTGGGTCTCCCCCCAACCGAAATATGTGGCACTATCTGAAGAAGAGAAACGTGTTTCTTTCGACACTTTCTGCAACGAAATGAATCTCTTAATGGACCTGTGGTGCGGCCGTGGTGTGGCCTGGGAAATTTCCTTGTCATTGTTTTGGACGTTGCAACAAATCATTTTCACAGATCTCCATCTCCATCGCCATCGCCATCCCAAGACCCGAAACTTGTGCAATTCTTTGGCTAAACTAATAAATAATTTGTATAAATTTCAGGAGCTGAGATGTGTGGCCCTACCATCGCTGTGGACCCGCAGATGTGCTGATCACACAAATATTTTATTATATAATAATACCGCCAAAATCTCCGTGCAAAATCAAACATTCCACAAAAGAAGACAAGGCGCAGAGAGAGAGAAAGAGAGAGAGGAAATTCAATAGAAACTCCCCGACAATCGCCAGAAATTATAAAGAAATCAATTATACCAACACAAAATGTCTATAAATAGGGGGAAAGATCCCCAGCCGGAGCCGCAATCGAAGCACCGCTCCAGCAGCCCCGCCCTGAAGGGAATCGCTTGGAGCACTTTGCTGGCGGTGCTCGCCGCCTGGTGTTGCCTCGAGATGGCCGAGGCACACGTGGGCCTCACCTACCCACCAGCACGTCAATACGATCTGGACTTTCTGGACAATTCGCGGACCAAGGCGCCGTGCGGCATGCCCAAAGGTGAGTAGATCTCTTGGGATGCACCAAGTCCGACCTGCATTCCAGCCTTTTGCTAGCACGGGGATGGGGAATCTCAGTTTAAGCGTCCGTTCGGAGCTGCAGCCATGCGATGAGTAACATTTCCCATTTCCCAATTCCCCATTCCCCATTCCATTCGTGCTGCCCATTCCATCGATAACTGATTGCCGCGATCGTAATATGTATATGGCTCATTATGGCCAGTTATTGCTTTGCTTTTCGCTTTTCGCTTTCTGCTTTGCTTTGTTGTAGTAGCAATTGGTCAGGCACGTTCGGTACAGTGCGTTTCACAACAACTGTTTGCTGAATGCCTTCATGGTGGGTATTACGGATTTCAGATTGAATGCTAGAACCCACAGAGACGCAGTCCATTCTGCTGAAAATTATTTGGCGCTCAAGCAATGAGAATAATTTGTAATCTCCTCCTTCCTTTATTCGTCTCCTGCTGCCCAAGCCTTTACAATTAATTATTTTATTATCCCTTGTAAGGTTTTTTGTGTCTCACTCTCTCTTAACAACATAAACAAAACGCTCGCTAGAAACGCATATGTAAGAGAGAGAGAGAGGGAGAGGGCGATCATAGACTTTTGCAACTGACTGTTTTGTTTTGTTTAGTTGAAATTCATAATTGAGAGAGACGTGCACTTTTGCTTTTGCTTGCATAACACTTTACCTACACATGTGCCACCCCACCCCACACACACCCCGCTCCCCCCTGCCCATACATATTATGCCTATGCTTTAGTTGTTTTGTTTTGTGTGGCATCTTGCTCAATGCTACTTGTTGCTGTTGTTGTTGTTGCGGCTGAAAAGTGTTACCAATTAATTTGCATATCGCGAGCAAAGCAACAGGCAGCGGCAGCGGCAGCAGCGCTGCAAGAGAGACTGAGACAGAGAGAGAGAGAGAGAGGCAACATTTTGGGGGCCATTCACTTGCTCGCTCGCACTGTGTGTGTGTGTGCGTGAATCCCAGTCCCCAGAAATTGGGTCACACACACACACACAAACACACTCACACATGTGGAGATTATGAGTGGTATTATGATTTTGATTATGATTTTTGGTTAAATGCACTTTCGAAAATCGAATAAAATAAAATAAAATACATCAGACACATGTGCGCGCAGCCCTACGATTTTGACATTTGATTTGCGATGAGCGGATGGGGCGAGCAGTGTGGGGTGGGGTGAGGTGTGGTGCAGGTGCAGGTGATTGCCATATATATTTATACTGTTTGCATATCAATTATATGCCCTCGCCGCCGACAATTGCCTTGAGAGATGGCTGGCTGGCTGGATGGATGGCTGCCTGGCTGTCGTAATTGGCAACTGGCGAATGGGCCAACAGCAGCAGCAGTCGAGGCAGCGGCTACCAGCCAACACGTGTGCCGCATCAAAATGCCAAATCAATTTCCATCGATATGTCTATAAAGTATCTGTACATACTTATAAGTTATGGTGCACAACCCGTCGAACGGCATTTTTGCGTGGAGTCTCTTGGCCATATTTTGAATGCGAGGAGAAACTTCCCTTGCGCTGCCTTTCCACTTTGCAGCTTTGTTGGCTTATCACTCGACTGGTGGGCATCCGTGGAGCCAGAGTTTTAGCCTCTTCCACATGCGGGGATATCTAATCATTCGCTTGGCGTCAAAAAGAACTCGCGAATCATGGACCCTCCCTGTCCAGCCCAATCAGTGAGCAGGCTGAGTGAGACTCGAGCAAGTTTTCGTGCAAAATTTCCTGCCTAGTTCCTTCTATTGATGAGCTGGCATTAGTTTTGGCAATTTTTATTCCTTGCTTCCAAGATACTCCAACGAAATGCAACTGGAAAGGGTATCTACATACTATCTATAGCTGCGGCACTTGAAGCCAGTCTTTCATTTTCGATTTCGTTGGCAGTTTCGTTTTGTTTTCTTTGGCTTGGCCGTTAATTATATACGAGTACTCGTACGCGCACACACACACACACACACACTTGCGTTGCGTTGCGTTGCGTATACGCAACGCGGGCCGCCGGTTGGGCCTGTCTGGTCGCCTGGTCGGTCGGTGGCACGTTTAACCCATTTCGGGGCATGACAACTTTTGCCTTCGCCTGCGGCCTGCCAAACGCGAATTGAATTGGCCAAGCAGGTTGCCTGGCTGCTGCCGCATCGATGCTGCAGCACATGCGTCTGCAGCGGCATCTGAGGCTGTGGCTGTGGCTGCGGCTGCGGCTCCCTGCCTGCCTTGATGATGATGTATGCGCGGAGAAAAGGCAAAGTGGAATGCAACATGCTGCAGCAAGTGGGGAAACTTTCACTTGTGCATTACGGCACACACAGAAGCCGCCGCCGGGAACCAAACCACCGACCAGAGTCCCGGCCACCATCCTCGGCGGTTACGGCATGCCCAAAATGGAAACAACTATATCTGTAGCTGCATGTAGCTGTAGCTGTATTTGTATCTGTATCTGTATCAGTGGCTGTTTCTGTGTAGCTGTGGCTGTGGCTGTAGCTGACAGTGACAGCTAAATGTAGCTGCATCGCTCATTACAGTTGTTGTTGAGATGCTTCTGCCCTTTCCATCGTTGCTGACCTCTGTGCCGCCTCTTGCATCTTGTTTGCATTACCATTACCATTACCTTTACCCCCATTGCCTCCTTCCCCCCGATCTTCCATCTCCCATTTACCATCTCAATTTGTTCGTGTTTGACACTCTTTTCAACTGCTTTTGCTTTGTTTTTGCTTTGGCCGCAAGAGACTTGACTGCCGCTGCCGCTGCCTCTGCCTCTGCCTCGAATGGAGGTCAAGTTGCGGTCGCCTCTTGTGTCACACTCGGCGGATTGGCGGTTGGGCAATCGCCAGTTGACAAACCATTGCTGTCGATAATTAGAAGAGCCATCAGCATCAGTCCAACAGTCCAACAGCCCATCAGTCCATCAGTCCAATCCAAATGCCAGTTCCTATGTGCGGCCTATGGGACCCGATCTATCTGGCTAACTGAGTCATGGCAGCCGGAATTGTGCTGGTTAATTTCTCAGACCTAGACCGAGAGCAAAGCCTGTAGACTGCGATTGTCACGCACGGCCTGCGACAGTCGTTCAGAATATCAATGAGAGTGACATTTAAGCGGCAGACACGGACACGGACACGGACCTGCCGACGTATACGTAATATCGTAATGGAGAACCCATAAATACCAGCACCAGCTCCAGCTCCACATGCACTGCAAATATCTGCATCTATTGACTGGGAGACATGGTATCTGGCAGGCCAGCCATAAATACTGCAAAGTGCCTGCCACTGGACAACAGTGGGAAAAACAGTGGAGGGATGTGGCGGGGCGGGGAGCAGGGGCAGGCGTCACGAGCAATTAACTAAAGCGAAACTCCTTGACCACAGAAGTGGCGGCAACAGCAGCAACCAATGCAAATATCGAGAGCTGGCAAAGCGCTAACCACTTGGCGTCGAACGGTGGCAAGTGGCAAGTGGCATGCGGCAAGCAGCAGGCAGCTCTCTGGGCTCGGACTCGGGCTCTGTGGCAGTGTTGCCAAAGCCAAATGAATTTTATGGCATGTTATGGCATGCTTCTTTCTCCTTCCTCTGCCTCCTCTGACTCTCGTTCGGCTACTGCTATGCCGCAAAAATTTATTGCTCTCAACGGCGCATGCGCAACGCTTCGTTAGCCTAGCCGCTTGCCTGAAGTTTATTTGTCAACCTTTTGCCAGTGCACACTGTACCTGCTCCGCCCCCGCCTGCTCCTCCACATTCTCCTCCACTCGGCTGCTCATTGCGGAAGTCTTTGTTACGGCTACGTGAGAGGCGTACACCATATTTGGCTGCTGTTGTTGCTGTTGCTGCTGCTGCTGCACTGCTTCTGGTGTGTGGCACATGCAATTAGAATGCATGCAAGCGAACATTCTTCTATTTACAAGCGAATTGCCTCAAGGTTCGCCTCTGTATGGAGAGTGCGGAGAGTGGGGAGAGTGGGGCGATTGGGGGTATGGTATCATGATGCAATGCCATGCCACCCATAACCCAAAGGTAAAGGAGAAGAAAACAAGAACCTTGCGTGTCGCTCAGATCTACGAGCAGTAACTGTTAGATGCTTCAGCTCCATCAGATATGGCATTCCACTATGGCGGGCCAAATTAGCTGAGTTTTCAATCAATTATAAACCGATTTCACGCGAATCTCCGCCAGAGAAGACGCCCCTGCCGCTGCCCCAACTTTAGCCACTTGGCAGACGGGGACAGACTTTCGAAATGGCCAGACGATGTCGGCGAGTTCAAGCTCAAGCAGCACACAGATTCACAGATACTCTCTACACACACACACACACACACAGACACAGATACGAGCAGCCAGACAGACAGACAGACAGACATTCATGCAACGCAGGCAGCCTCAAAGCCACGGCGCAAAGGTGAACAACTTTCGCGACCTGCTGCTCATGGGAAATATGACAAGCGTAGAAGCGAGAAACACGAGAAAAAAAAAACACCGTATAATATATTGACCAGGCCTGGGGCGACCTCTCGAACGGATCGGATCGGATCGGAATGGCCACATGAGAAACACCCAAAAACAAAAACTGAAAACTGAAAACCGAAAAACGAAAAACACCTGCTAATTTTGTTGCATTGAGATGGGATGGTGTGGGGTGGGTAGGGGAGGGGGCATTCACGCGATTGGGGCAGGGCGACTCGACGGGTTCCGCCCCACATTTTGGCATAATTTGTCCGATCCAATGCGATCCGAACCGAACCGTTGTCTCGATTTATTAATGGGAACACCATTTGATTTATCCCCCGATAGCCGCGCATATCCCTACCTCCCTCCCTCCCTCCCTTCGCTGCCATGTGCTTAACCCATTTCCGATCTGGTTTGACGGCTTTTTTCGTATCAAAACAAAAGAAAACAGAAATCAGAAATCTAGTGGAATTGGAATCTGGGGTAGGCCATGGGAAGCGAAGCTGTGTGGTCCAGAGGTCCAGAGGCTGGGGGCAGATGTATGTTGACTGCAGGTGCAATGATCCGAATTCGAATTTGAATTCACATTCAATTTCGAATCGAACTGCAGTTGCATTTGCATTTCCCCAGGGTTTCCACATGAATGGAGATCTAGGGATCTGTGCTTTGCTACGTTTCTATTCTCCACTGATTCGCGTTGTTGCGCAACTGAAACCAAAAGTTTTACTGCCAAAGAACATCCACTGACCCACAAAAGATACATCAGCGCACAGCTGCGGCTGTGGATACCGCCGATATCTGTCCATCCGCATGCCGCTATGCAATCGACTGGAGAGTACCCCAGTACGCCAGGCAGCTGCCAACGGCACTCTGCACTGGATATACCCCACCTCGAGCTCGAGGGTAGCCAAATGACTGCACGTCATGTCCATCGGCTGAGACTGGGCCTGTCATCGTCCGGCCATATTGGGCCGCCAAGCTGGCAGCTGCACGACCATCGAGCGCCAATTGAATGATTCAAGTGGTCACTTGGACTCGCCGCATTTTGCAGCATTTTGCCAGCCGTGTATCCAACCATTTAGGATGACTCTTGGCTATAGCTCTGGTCTATAGTCTATAGTCCGACTATGTCTATGTCTCTGTCTCTGTCTCTGACTTTGGCTAACTGGCTGTGCAATCTGCAGCCGTGCCAGCAGTAATCATAATTTTCAGCTTCCTTATTTGTCGACAATTGCAATTGCCGCATGTCGGGAAAGTGACACTCCTCCTCCTTTCGCTTTCGCAGATATCCAGGCATCTAACAGGGTCTGGTCTGGGCCCGTTTAATGGCTTCAATTAGCGACTCGTTCGCCGCTTATTGGCTGCCAACGACGTTCGAGGCAATGTGCACTGGGCACTGATACTCTGGGTCTGGTCTGGTGTGGTCTGGTCTAGCTGCATCTTCAGGTTGTTGTCTTTTCACAGCTGGTCAGCGTCAGTGGCGGAGATTACCGCATGGCTCTTATGCAACATATGAAATTTGTCTGATTTCTTGGGCAGGGCCACAGCTGGAGAGCTGGATGCCTTGGGGAGTTCATCCACAGGTGCATGGCGCCCTAAATGAATGAATGACACGACACGACTGAATAGGCTGCACTCGATGCCAGTCAATGCAGAACCAGTTACGCAGCAAAGCAAAGCAAACCTTTAATTAGGCGACCATCCTCATATGGGAGTTACTGGGGACAGACATCGTTGGTTAATCATTGTAATCATTATAATCATGGGTCTGATCATGCTCTGATTTCCTTACTACAGGCTCCATCCGCACCTCGCTGCTGTCCGGCTCGATGTTCAATGTCACCTGGCACCTGGCCTATCCACACAAGGTAAGTTTATGGAGCGGGGCAATGGGAGCAGAACACGCCTTATCTGGGGTGGGACTAATTAGCCGCGAAGCACGACTCGAACCACAATGATTGCCTCACATGCAGACGCGTAGTCAGTAGTCAGATGGGTATTCCCATCATTGTGGATTCAGAGATCGCGTCGCAAGTTCTCAGTCATTGTGTGGCCTGATCGTGGCTCCATTTGATCATCTGAGAGAGGTCTAATCAGTGGGGCAATCTTTTCCAGGGCGGCTTTCGGCTGCAACTGCTGGATGCCCTTGATCGGCCCGTTCTCGACCTGACGCCGCACGTCAACAACTCGGAGTTTGTGCGCACGGACGTCACGTGAGTGTTGAGGCTCAAGCCGCAGCCCTTGCTCTGGCCTGACACAGATTCCTTCTTCTTGCAGCGCCCAGGCGTATCCCGTGAACTTACCCAAGGACTTTGAGTGCTTCAACTGCACCCTGCGTCTGCTGCGGCAGGCCGACGAGTGGTCCAACAGCTACCGGTTCTGGTCGTGCGCCGACGTGGACATCAAGCAGCGGAAGGACTTCAAGGAGACGTGCTCCGGTCACGGCAAGTACTTCCCCTCGCGCTGCAAGTGCGAAAAGAATTACTACGGAGCCCAATGCCAGTACCGGGATGAGTGCGTCGCCGACTCCGACTGCGGCGTCCAGGGAAAGTGCATTGACCTCGGTGGCACCTCGCTGCCCCGCCGACAGTGCTACTGCAACTTCGGCTGGTTCGGGCTGGGCTGCAACAAGCGATCGCCCTACAAGAGCACCGACCTCGACCTCTCCTCCTACACCAAGAAGGAGCTCTCGGCCGACTACCACGTCTACTGGCGGCTGCTGGAGGAGCAGAAGGAGATCGAGGTGGTGCTCAAGGTGAACGGCACCTCATGGGCCGGTTTCGGCTGGCGCCCGCGCGGCCTTACCCCAGAGTGCAAGAACTTTCCGCTCATACGGGACATCGGGGATCTGACCACGACTCTGGAACCGAAAAGTGAGCCGGAACCGAAGAGCGAACCGGAACCGAAGAGCGAACCGGAACCTAAGAGTGAACCAGAACCTAAGAGCGAACCGGAACCGAAGAGCGAACCGGAACCGAAGAGCGAACCGGAACCTAAGAGCGAACCAGAACCTAAGAGCGAACCGGAACCGAAGAGCGAACCGGAACCTAAGAGTGAACCAGAACCTAAGAGCGAACCGGAACCGAAGAGCGAACCAGAACCTAAGAGTGAACCGGAACCTAAGAGTGAACCAGAACCGAAGAGCGAACCGGAACCTAAGAGTGAACCGGAACCGAAGAGCGAACCGGAACCTAAGAGCGAACCGGAACCTAAGAGCGAACCGGAACCTACAAGTGAACCAGAACCTAAGAGTGAACCGGAACCTAAGAGTGAACCGGAACCGAAGAGCGAACCAGAACCTAAGAGTGAACCGGAACCTAAGAGCGAACCGGAACCTAAGAGCGAACCGGAACCTACAAGTGAACCAGAACCTAAGAGTGAACCAGAACCGAAGAGCGAACCGGAACCTAAGAGCGAACCGGAACCTACAAGTGAACCGGAACCTAAGAGCGAACCGGAACCTACAAGTGAACCAGAACCTGCAAGCACACCGGAACCGGAAGCGAAGAGTGTGGCTGAGCCACAGAGTTCAAAGACCAAAAGAGTCGCCGGAGATTATGCCCAGATGGACGGAGTCAGCTCTGTCGCCACTAGCGTCTCCTACCGCGTCAGCAGCAACGCAAAGCGCAGCCGCCGCGAGGCGACAGGTAAGCATACAGTATATCTGATCAGTCCAGAGCATATATTATCCTCACTTGTAGAAGCGCCCAAGAACCGCCTGAACCCGTACACGCCGATCCACGACTTCAATCCCATGGACTGCACGGACATTGTGATTGGCGCGGCCCGTGGAATGGCCAGTCGAGTCGGAGACTACTACACGCGGGACCGATCGACCCCGCGCAGCGACGAGTTCTACGGCGGAAAGTCGAACCTGGCCCTGGCCACTGGCTTCGAAGAGAACGGCGTGACGACCATCATATTCCGGAAGAAGCTGGTGGCCACGGAGCCCACGGACCACACCCTGGACGACGCGCTAACCCATGTGATCTGGGCCAAGGGCCAGGAGCCGGGCAGCTATGTGCACGTCCCAGCCTCTGGGCTGGAGACGCAGTCCGCCACGGTGAAGGACTTCTACCAGCCGGACGAGCTGAAGTACCACGGCCACAAGATGCAGCGCGGCTTCACCCAGATCAATTTCTTTGGTGAGCAATCCCCCGATCCGAACCCACTCTGGGAAGCTGTCTCATCCCCCCTCCTTTCTCCCTTGCAGAGAAAGAGAAGGCCGCCGCCAGTGCGGACCGGACAGATCTGACCACGAATGTGCTGGACAACGATTGCTACGGCCACTGGAAGTATCCGTCCAACTGCTCGCCCCAGGAGCACACCTGCGAGTACTACGCCGCTTGGGAAACGGTCGGGCGCGGCGACGAGATGCGCTGGCACATTGAGACGTCGAACACGGAGACCTGGACGGGCATCGGCTTCAGCGAGGATCAGCGCATGTCGCAGACCGACGCCATCATCGGCTGGGTGGACAAGCGCAACGGCCGACCCTTCCTGATGGACACGTGGGTGCTGGGCTACGCCCCGCCCAAGCTGGACGATCGCCAGGACATCTACAATGCCTCGGGACGCATTGACAAGGGCGTCACGATCCTGGAGTTCAACCGGAAGCGCGTGAGCAATGATGAGCAGGACCTGTCCTTCACAGACGAACACTGCCTCTATCTGTTCTTCCCCGTCCTGGGTGGCGCCTTCAACGTGGTCAACAAGAAGATCCGCAAGCACGAGCAGGTGCCGCCAGTCTCCTCGCGCCGCGTGTGCATCAAATCCTGCGGCAAAGGTGAGTGACCCTCGCCGAGTCGCCCCAAGCGATACTCTTCTCCACTTTTGTGCCTCTCTTTGCAGAACTGGAGGCTGTGTTTGTTGGCACCAGTACGCCGGCCCCCAGCCGCCTGGTCTACGCCGTGGGCGTGAAGTTGATGAACCTGGGCGAGTCGTACGAAGCACCAAAGGCGGGCACCGTGGAGTTCAACAACCTGGCAGCCACCATCTCGGACTCCTTCAACGGCATCCTAAGTCCCCTTCCCGGATACTACAAGACGGAGATTCTGGGCTTTGAAAAGTGCGTACACCACCTAACCCCCATCTTACTGTGAGGCAGGTTCCGTGATTGACCGATTCGTTTTTCAGGGAGGGCAGCACGATGGTCGCCAAGGTGCAGGCCATGTTCGACAAGGCGGATGTGGAGAAGATGCACGACCTGGAGAACAATACGGTGGAGAAGAGCGGCGAAGGAGCCGCCCAGAAGAACGCCGATGTGATCCGCGCGGCGCTGCAGGATCAGATAGCCACCGGCCGCGTGGGCTCTCTGACGGTCGATCCGCAGTATCTTGACTTTGAGGCCTTGGAATGTAAGCCACAAACAAACCGCATCCTACACCATCTCACACATTTAACTACACTCTTCACATAGACAAGAGCACCACCGAACCGAACGCCAAGGAGACACTGCTCTCCTTCTTCGACCTGTCCGAGACGCGCCTGTACATAGTGCTCGGTCTGATAGCGGCCCTGGTGCTCATCGCTTTGATCCAGGCCTTCTGCACCATTTGGAAGACGTCACGCAAGAGCAAGAACACCAAGGTAAGCTAGATCCGCCAGGAGGTACTGGTACGGTACCCCATCGAGTTGGCATTGGTCGTGGCGTGGAGTCGAATCCTCACTGACAGCTTACAGATTTTTATAATGTTTATCCATTGTACCGTGTCGTTCAAAGCTGGTTTACGTTATACCCGAGGAGTGGCGCATGTACCAGCAGCGACAGCACCAACGCTACTACCAGCCCTCTAGCGATCTATAAGCCTCAATAGACACATCCCGCCCAGCAAACGAACAAACAACACGCACACATTCAGATCAGAAATACATGCATACCCATCCGTAATCATCCTCCGAGCCCAGACATCCATCAGCTACTCAGCTACCAGCTGCCTTAAGTGCATTTAAGGATCACAGAATCCCATCCCAGAACTATAGTTAGTCCGCGCGGAAACGAACACTCTCTCGATCGTGTACCATTTGCCAGCTGTTTGCGTTTATCCAAATCTTGCGAGTGTCTAGAACTGAATTGGTAATTGACATTGCGTTTTCTGGTTTGTTATTCTGTTTTTCTGTTTCTATTTCTGTTCTTGTTGCCATTAACACGTAAACACTTCACCCGCTAACCCACCACAATCCAATTCAATCGCTAACTGCCTTGTCTTCTGTCTTCTCTGTGTATCTCCCTCCCACTCCCACATCTGTCTCTTTAACCAACAATAATTCTGTGTTTCCAGGGCTTTAAAGTATTTTCTAATCTTCCACCCACACATCGCTAATCGTTTAATATCTGTGCGAGCGCGGTTTCGGTTTCTCTTGACCAGTCGGCATTTGATATATGCTGCAAACTCTCTCCAGAGCAAAACATCGACTAGAACCTTTTTGTAGTAGAACTGTTGCTGTCTTCCAGCCTAATCTATCCGAATACTATTAACACGATTCTTCTTCCTTTCTTGCACGAATGAGATTTCGGGGTAAACGTAAACGTAAACGCAGGCGGCACAAGGCACAAGGCACAAGCAAGGCACACACGTGTCCAGAGCAGACATCATCATCGCATTAGAATAGAGTTCGTTCGATCGGGGAAATATACATAGCTAACCATACCAAATGCTGACTGGTTGGGCGCCGATAGTTCGTAGCGGGCCTTGCCTTTATTGTGCTGATACCAATTTGTGATTGCAGGAGAAACTCATCCAGAACTCGCCCTGGAAGGAGTTCGCCTCGAACACCAACTACGCCTTCGATCCCTACGGCGAGACGGAGGAGAAGCACATGACGAGTGCCAGCACGGCGGGCAAGGAGAAGGCGCGCCACCGAAATCAGTCCACCAGCAGCAGCCAGCAGACCACACTGCCCATGTCCCACTCGCCCACCAGCAAGTCCCAGATGTACTACGAGAGCACCAATGGCCAGGGCAAGGGCAGCAATGGAAATAGCAATGGGAACGGCAATGGCAACGGCAACGGCAGCCGCTCCTCCAATGGCCGCCAAGAGAGCAGCGCTGGAGGCGCACCCGCGGCCTATTCACGCAGCTCGTACGCAGAGCGGGCCTACTCCCTGCCCCGACAGACGCACCACTACCAACAGAACGCGACCAGCATGCAGCCGTCGGGCTACTACACCCACGATCGTCGCACCGCCCGCCAGGGCAGCCGGGACAGGGAGAGGGAAGAGGAGCGGCGTCACCGTCAGGAGCGGGATCGGGACGCGGGCTACGATCGGTCGCGCGACGACCCCCGTCAGAACGGTGGCTCGGACACACCCGACTTTTACTTCATGCCCTCCCAGCGCAAGTACTCCGGGGAAGTGGTTCGCGTTTATGTGGATTACAACAAGGATCCGAAGCACTAATCGTGCCCTCCCCAGAGGTGGCCCACTCGTAGCGATTTATTTAAAACTCGTTTTAAGTTCTTAACCTCTAACATCTCTTCGCCTGTGTCCTTCCCTTCCCCTTCCATAATGGTCTGTCTCTGTCCCTTCTTTGTCCACTCTCCCTCTCGTGCTCTATCTCGTTTCGATTTTGCCATAAAGCAGTTCCACTGCAAGCGCTTGGGGACAGGGGACCGATAAAGATGGCCGATACGCTCCCCAGGACGGGACGGCGTTAGCTCCAGGTGCGCAAGCTTTACAATTAACGCACAACGCATGATCCACAATTAGTGAATTGTAAATATATTGCATAGATATTAATGGTCTAAACAAACTCCACACCACACAAATTATTCAAGCAAATCCAGCATTGTACTGTAATTAGGTACTCGTACATGCACGTTCATTGAGAATGTTTCCGCATTGTCTTCTCTTAAATGTGCAAAGAAAAATAGTCACTGTATTTAATCAAATTAAATATATGCATTAAGTAAAGTACATTTAAATAAAGTTAAGTACAAAAAATACGCCCACACATCTTATTTTCACTCGATTAGTAGGCCAGGCTCAGTTCGTGCTCAAATGGCAAATTGCCGGGACGCTGTAGCGAGTGCAACACCAAATATTACGGAGTAGCGTAGCATTTTCAAGCGCTGATTGTATGATTGATGCGTAAAATGAGATCATATATGTATGTACGTCACGAGAACACATGCCATGCCATGCAGCCGCTGCATCGTTTAGAACCCAACCAGTAAAAACCTTTCTTACTTCTTCTTACTTTTAAATTTTCTTTTAGCTTTTTTTATACAATTTTTACATATCTACAACATAAAAGTTACTGCCTATCGCAGTGGAACAAATCGGAATTCTCTTAATCATTTCATCTTCTGCTTTGGGCATGATCTGATCCATCGAGTAGCTTTCATTCAGCCAAGGTACGCAATATCGAATATTAAACACTAACGTTATCGCTGTCGCCATCGCCAAGGAAACGAACGAGTTGAAGGCGAAATTATAGTAATGATTCGTAGTTCTAGTAGCATTAGTTTTAGTATTCCATGCAAGCGATTCGTTTTGGGGAAGAGTTGCAGCCTGCCTCTGCGATCAGTTGGGGTAGGCATGCTGGCTGTCTTCCTCAATCTTGTTGCCCAGTATCCAGTCCATGAGACCCATCGTGGGGGAACGCGGCGCGGGCTGGGCTGTAAATGAACGAAGGAATTGGCTAATCGGTGAGCAAAAGAGGGCGGCAACTGTGACCAAACAGCTACTCACATTGATCCACGCCAAACGACGGTTGACTGGCTGCTGCTGAAGCGCCAAGTGGAGTTACAGTCGTTACTGCCGCCGATCCTGATCCCTGCTTGGCCATGTCCCTTTGCAGCTGAACCATTTGCTGCAGGCGTTGCTCGCGCTCGTCCACGATGGCCTTGTCCTTTGAGTGTTTCACCGTTTGCAGCTCAGCCAATCTATTCGAGAAAGAACTATAGTCAGGCAGTGGGGGACAAAGGTGCCCGGAGGGAGACATACTTTTGCTTCAAATCACTGCCTCTGGTATTGGTGACTACAGCCAGATCGGTGCTGCTGGCGTTGCTCGTCTTTCTGGGCGTGCTGCCCGAGGCGGTCGATGAGGAGGCAGTGGCACTGCTCGCGGCACTGGCTGCCAGTGCAGCTGCAAAGCAAAACAACGTCAAAACGCATGAGGAATCGGAATCACATTTAGGGATTAAGGATAACTTACGATCGTCGCTGGCCCGAACGCGCTCGGTCTCCAGCTGCCGCAGAGTGTCGGACAGTTTCAGCTGCAGGTGATCGCGTTCCTGCAACAACTGGCCCAGCTCGAGTATCATCTCCTCGACCCGCATGTCACGTTGATGGAGCATCATCAGTGCATAGTCGAGGTCCGCCTTCAGCACGTACTCCGACTGAGTATCGGCTCCAACAGCCCCGCCGCCGGCTCCCTGATTCTGCAGCCGGAAGGGATCGTACTGGGCAGCAAGGCGAGCATATTCTGCCGAGCGAATGGCCAGCTGCTCCTTGAGTGTGACAATCTCCATTTCTTGCGTCTCCAGGGCCTTTTGCATTTTCAGCGAGGAGTCGCTGTCCTCTGCCTGGGGAACGGCAGACTCCGTAGGATATTGCTGCTGTTGCTGAATCTGCTCGAGCTGAGCCTTGAACGCAGCCTCCCTTTGCGACAGATGGTCCTGCCAAATGTTGGCCACTTCGCCGCACTTTTGCTCCACCACCGCCTCCCACTGCTGGTTGAGCGCATCCAGATCCGGTATCTGTGCTGGACTCTGACTATGCTGAAGCAATTCCAGGGACTTGCGCAGCTCGGCTATCTCAATGTTCTTGGTGTCCAGCTCGAGAACGGTGTGCTTCATCTTATCCTCCAGCTCCAGGCTCGACAACACATGGTTGTTCAGCACACGCAACTCCTCCTCCATGTCAGACTTCTCCGACTGCATTTGCTGGCACTGCGCCCGCAGCTGTTGCAGCTCCTCCCGATCTGTCTCTGGCGCTGTCGCTGCCAACGCGGGCGACAGAGCAGGCTCCTCCCTCTCCTCTTTCAGTTGCTTGATCTGCATGCGCAGCAGTTGCAACTCCTGGTTCTTGGTCAGTATCTCGAACACCAACTTCTCGGTCTGGTCCTCGCGCATCAACTCCTCGATGCGCTGCTTCAGATGCACAATCTCCGACTCCTTCTCCTGCAACTGGGCCATCTGCTCGTCACTGGCTGCAGCTGAAGCTGAGGCTGAGGTGGCCACAGACTGCTCCGCTTGTCGCTGGGTCTGTCGCAACTCCTCAATCTCTGCCTGCCGTTGCCTGAGGCACTGTTCCACCTCCACTTTCTGGGCCCGAAGTTCTTCCAGCTCCGACTGCCGACTCCTCAGCTGCTCCACTTCCAGTTTGAGGCTATGCAGCTCATTGGCCTCCACTTGGTTGCCTCTAAGCTCGTCCAGCTCCGCTTGCAGCTGATGTAAATTTTCTCTTAGCTCTTCCCGTTGTGCCTGGGCCTGGGCAGCCGTCTCCTCGGCCAGCTGAGCCTGACGCCTCTCCTCCAGCAGCTGTGACTGCAATTCCTGGCACTCGGCATTCAGGTCTACATTTTCCGCCTGTAGATTTTCAATTTTGATGAGGGACTCTGCATCGCTTCTGTTGGGTGCAGCATCCAAAGGTGCGGCTGCGACTGCGACTGTGGCCGGCACATCCCATTGATCCATCTGGGTGAGCTTCTCCTGCAACTCGCGGATGCGGGCCTGGTACATTTGCACGTCCCTGTCCTGGCGCTCCTTCAACTCGGCCATGCGGTCATTTCCGGCGGTGAGCACATCGATGCGCTTGCTCAGTTTCTCCCTCTCCAAGGCGTGCTGCTGCACCAGCTCCTCGTTCTTCGCCTGACGTGCCTCCTGCAGTTGCAACTGATGCTTCAGCTCCTCGATAATGGCCCCATCGAGGTCGTTGTCCGGGGCTGTGACTGTGACCACCGCCTTACTCTTGTACTCCTTGAGGCGCTTCAGCAGCTTTGCGGTTTTCGTCTGCAGCTCGGCCTTTTGCTGCTCGGCGGCGGCCAACTGGCGCTCCAGCTGGCCAATCCTCGCGTGCATCGCCTCACCATCGGGCTGTGTGCGGATCTCAATGTCTTGGGTAGCTTGAGCGGCGGCAGCGGCGCTTGCCCAGGGATCATCGTCGACACCCCAGTCGACTGCCTGCTGCTGCTCCTGCTGGGGATGGCAGATGTACGCCTTCTTTGGTACAATCATGGCTTCCACCACAGGCTCTGGCTGAGTCTGGCCCCAGCCCTGCTGTTGTCGGGTGACCGCATCCGGCACAGATTCCTCCGGACCACCCACTCCGAAGAACATATCCAGCGAGGGCGCGCCCGTCGGTTGGATGAGCTTCTCGAGGGCAGCCAGTCGCTCGCGCTCCTCTTCCGCGCCCCTAATCTCTGCCAGCTGCTGATCCCGTTCGTGCAGCAATCGCTCAAGCTCGGCCAGACGCCGTTCCTGGTCGGCAACCGCCTGATTGCGGGCCAAGAGCTTCGTTTCCAGATCCTGGGCATGCTTCTCCAGATCCGAGACATTTCGCTGCAAATCCTCGATGGTGGGGGGCGGCGGTAGCGTGGGCTGGGGCTGATGCTGGGGCGGCGGAGGTGCAGCCGACAACTGCTGGCTGGACACCCTCAGGGGCTGGACAATCTCGTCGAAGGGCGATGGAGCTGCGCCGGCATCGCTGGCAAAGAAAAAGGATGCAGCGGGAGCTGAACCGGAAGCGCTAACAGATGCCGCTGCTGATCTCTGCCTGGCAGCCGCCAGCTGTCCAGCCTGCTCCTCAAGTCGCGCCTGCAGTTCGATTAGTTGCTCCGTCAGCCGTTTGTTCTCCGTCTCGATGTAGACCTGATCGTCCGTCTGGTTCTGGCCGAGCGTGTCCCACTCGGCAATCTGCTGCTGAAGAAGTTGAAGCTCCTGGGTGTGGTTGGCGCATAGCGAGTCGATTTGCGAGCGCAGGTTGTCCATCTCCGTCTTGTCTTGAATCACCTGCATGCGCAGCTCCTGAAGCTCCAAGACGTCCTGCTCGGCGCTATCCTGCTGCAGCCGTAGCAACGTCACCTCGCGGCTCAGGGTGGAACGTTCTCGCTCCACCTCCTGCAGCTCCTCGGTGACGCGGCTGAGATCCTCGCCACGTTGACTGATCTGCTCGTGGGCCCGTTCCAACTGCTGGGTGAGGTCGCGGCTCTCGGCTGTTGACCGCTCCATGTGGGCATTGAGATCGCACTCAATCTCGTCCAGCTCGGTGGCCTTGGCGGCCAGCTTGGCATCGTACACCTGCCGTTGGCGCTGCAGCTCCGACTCCCTGAGGGCAAGCTGCTCGCGGAGATCAGCCAACTCGTCCTCACTGTGGCTGCTCATCGTTTCGCGCTCCGCCTGGGCCTGGGCCATCAGTTGGCCGTGCTTGATCCTCAGGGCATCGTACTCCGCCCGAAGCTGAGCCAGTTGCTCGCGGGAATCCTCAGACTCGCCGGAAATTAGCTCCAATTGGCGATTATGCGCCTGTTCCCGTTCGGCCAGCTCTCGCACGCGCTCTCGGAGCTGGGTTTCGTGTTCCTTTTGCTGGGAGGAGTTCTGCTGCAGCTGCTGCTCGAAGAGATTGGCCCGATCATGGGCTGCGGCCTGCTGGTTGGCCAAACTCGCCACTTGCTCCTCCAGGGCAGCGCTCTTGGCAAGCAGCTCCGTGTTCTGCGACTCGAGGGACTCGATATACGACGCATCCTGCTGCAGTTTGGCCTGAATGCCCCCGTGGATGGTCTCTAGGCGGCCGATGGTCACCTGGAAGTCGGCCTTGTCTCTGGCATACTGCTGGGCAAGCAGAGCGTGCTGCTCCTCGGCAGCCTGCAGCTGGGCCCTCAGCAGCGCCTCCTCCTCGCGTGGCTCCTCTGCTGCCACGGCTGCTGTCGTCTTGTCCTCAGCATGGAGGCGCAGCTGTTGCAGCTCGCGTTGCAGTGCCTGAATGGTGGCATTGCGGTGCTTGATCACCTCCTTGGACTTGTCGAACTTGGTGGACTTTTGCTCCAGCTGGCGATACAAGTCCGCCAAGCTGTGCTCCTGCTCCGTCTGCTGCTGCTCCCAATGGGCCTGATCGCGTCGCAGCTCGGTGTTGGCACGGACCGTGTTCTGCAGTTCCACGTGCAGACGCTGCTGCTCCTCGTCGCGCTGCTGTAGGAGATGTTCCTGCTCTTGGAGCTGCTGCTTGAGTTGTCGCTGGGCGTCGCGGCTCTCCAAATTCACATGGATCTTGGCTTTCAATTCCTCGTTGAGGCGTGCCACCTGCTCATGCAGCTTTTCCACCTCCACGTGATCTATGGCCGTCTGCTGGGGCCGCTCTGTGAACTCCTTCAGTTTCTGCTCCAATTCGGCGTTCTCTTGGCTGCGCTTCTTCAGGTTGAGGGCGTACTTCTTGAGCTTCTCGCGCAACTCCCGATGCTTGTGCTGCTCCTCCTGCTTGGCCTGTTCAAGGCTCTGGTAGAGTTCCTGCAGCTGCTGGTTGAGCGCCTCAATCGTCTCCTGCTTGGTCGCCAGTTCGCTAACCTGCTGCGCGGCCAGGGACTTGCTGACCCTCAGCGATTCCTTGAGATGGCCGGGATCTTCCTCCTTGGCGCGCAGCTCTCGTAGCTCCGCCTGTGCGGCCTGAAGCTCCAAAATCTTCAGATTGAGTGTGTGCTCGCTCTCGCTGAGGTTCTCAATGAGCTGCTGCTTCTGCTCGGCCACCAGGGCCTTCAGTATGCTCAGTTCCCCCTCCATGGACTCGGCGCGGGCCTCCAACTCGCGTCGAATACGCGTCTGCTGCTCCATGTACTTCTCGTGGCCCATTTCCTTGGTGTTCAACACTTGATGGAACTGCTCCACTTGCTGCTGGAGCTGCGTTAGCTTTGCCTCTTGCGAGGCTATTGTCTGCAAATGCTCGGATTCCCCGCCGCGAAGATCGGCTATTGTTTGCAGTTGCTCCTCGATTTGCTGGCGCTGATCGGACTCTTGGCTTCGCAGCTCCCTTAGCGTCGTCTGCAATTCCAGCAGTTCCCTCGCCAGATCTGGCTGCTGTTCATCCACGGCTGCAATGGCCAGTTGTGGCGCTTCCGGTTCGTAGCTTTCCTGAAGCTCTTCCAACTCCAGGCGCAGTCTGGACAGCTCTGCCTTGAGCTCGGCATTCTGGGCCGTAAGTTTTTCGTACTCGGCCAGAGCCTTGCCATTGGGAGCCGTCACAGCGACCACCGTCTCCACGACGGTCACCGTTTCCACCGCCGTGCTGGCCTCCTTCACCTTTTGAAGGAGCTCCGTCAGCTGGGTGTGGCAGTTTTTGGCCTCCTTGGCCAGTTTCTTGGACGCATTGATCTTTGCCTGACGATCGGCCTTGCGGTAGGCCTCCAACTCTGAGTTCAGTTTGCTGAGGGATCGCTCGCACTTGTCGAAGAGGGCGGGGCCCCCCTCGCCGGCATCCAAGGCAGCCACCACCTCTGAGGAGCGCTGCATGGAGCTGAGCTCCTGCGAGAGGTTCGAACGCTCGCTCAGCTGCAGCGAAAGCTGCTCCTTTTCGCGCTGCAAGTCCTCCTTTTGCAGATGTCCTTCGCTCAGTCTTGACTCCAGGCGGGTGTTGTCAGCTGTTAGGCGCTGCAGTTGCTCCTTCTGGCCATCCAGTCTCGCCTGGAAGTCCCCATTCTCCGCCGTCAGCTGCTCCATCTTCTCGAGCACCTCGCGTCGCTCGTTGGAAAACAGCTCGATCCTCTGGAGCAGTTCGCTGCGCTCTTCCCTCAGCTGGTTCAGACTCTCGCTGGCATCGGACGTGAGATCGGTTTGAGTAAGTTCACTCACGACACTTGGCAGCCGGGCAATGGGCGCCTTCGACGCCGCCGCCGCTTCCTGATCCTCTTGATGCTGCTTCTGTTCCTGGGCATCGCCCTCGCTGGCCGGACGACGTGGTGTGAAGCATTCCAGCTGCTCTTGCGAAGGTCGCTCGACAATCTCTATGGACTCGGCGGAGCTGGAGGCGCTGATCTTTTCCAGTTTGTCCAGCAACTCCATGTTCTCGTTGACGTAGTGGGAGAGCTTCTTGTCAAGGACATCCTTCTCGGCTTGGAGTGTCTGAAGCTGGAGGATCTGCTCCTGCGCTTGCTGCTCCAGTTGATGGACGCGCTGCGAGAGATGTTCCTCCATATGGACTTCGCTCAGCTCGGATTCCACGCGGGCAGACTCGTTGCCCTCCTGAAGAGCCTCCAAAGCCTGCTGGAGTTCCATTTTCTGTTCCTCCAACAGCCGGACGGCCTCCCTTTGGAGAGGATTGATCTCGTGCTGCGTCTGTTCCTCCCCCTCGCCCTCTTCCTGCATATTGGACAGCTGCCACTGGCCCTTCTCGTCCTCCAGCACAGTGATTCGCTGTTGCAGATCCTCATTTTCGGCCGCCAGAGCAGCCAATTTTTGCTGACTGTCCTCGGACTGAATTTTCTGCAGCTGCTTCTCTGCCTGCTTGCATTTTAGCTTCAGCTTGATGTTGGCCTTGTTGGACTCGTCCAGTTTCTGCTTTAGCTGCTGCAACTCTTCCCTCAGCTGCTCGCTGGCCGAGTGATCCTCCTCGTCCAGAAATAGCGGCTTGCTCCGGCTGCTCTGGGCGAGCTTCTCCTCGAGCAGGCGCAGGTTTACATTGAGCACATTCAATTCGGTTGTCTTCTCGGCCAGCTCTTCACTCTGCTCGGCCATGGCAGCCTTTTGTTCCTCCAGTTGCGTGCACTGTGTGGCAATTGTCGCTTCCATCTGACTGAGACACTCGGAGACGTTGCTGTCGCTCACCTCCAGCTTTGTGGGGGAGTCGGCTTCTCGCCTCAGTTCATCGTAGGCTGCCTGGAGAGCGCTCAGTTGCTTGGCCAGCTCTTCATTGACCTGAACCTCCGTGTTAATAGACTCGAATTGGCTGTTCTGCTGCTGCTGCTGAAGCTGCTGCAGCTGCTCCCGCGCCGTGCTCAGCTCGTCGGTGAGCTCGCATCGCGTCGTCTCCAGCATGTCGTTGATGTTTTCGAGCTCTGACAGGCGCTCCTTCATGGCCACCACCTCAGAGTGTAGGCGGGCGTGTTCCTGTTCCTGCAGGCTGTTTCTCTCGGGCACCGCATCAGCACGCACCTGCTCCAACTCCTCGTTCCTTTGCGTTAAGGTGCGCTGCAACTCGGCGCCGGACAATTCCAATTGCTCGATGAGACTGGCCCGCCTGGCCAGCTCTTGGCGCAACTCTAGCACCTCCTGCTCCTGCCGGCTCTGTTTGAGCTCGGTGACTTTCATCCTGTTCTTGAGCAACTTCATTCGGCTCTCGTCCAGGACGTCTGCCTGCTGCTGCTGTTGCTGCTGCAAATCCAATGCCGAGCGATGTCGGGAGACGAGAGCATTGTCCTCTGGCACCGCCGCCTGCCGAAGATCAGTCATCGAGGAGCCCAGATCGGCGGCGGTGCGGCTGTGGCTGCGGCTCTGGCTCTGGCTGAGGCTGGACCTGATGGAGAGCAGAGATTTGGCCATATCTCGCTTTCGCTGCTCGATCAGCGCTCGATTCTGTTCCGTGCGCTGGGTGAGCATCAGCAGTTTCTCACTGCCGCTGGCATGCAGCAGCGAACTGTCCAGAGATTTGTCCGTTACCTCCTTTGTGGGCGTAGCCAGGGGAGTGGAGGCATCGGCCACTGCAACGCCGCCCCCCGAACGCGCCTTGAGCACGGTGAGTTTCTGTTCCAATGCTTTCAGCGATTCAATGGATTCACTATTGCTGGGCCGGTGTTGCGCTCGCTCCCGCAACTCCATCAATCGTTCCTGTTGTTTGGATAAATTTTCTTTTAGGCTGTCGAGGCGACCTTTGCTCCCGCCGCCGCCACCGCCGCCTATCGTTGTGCTGGTGGATACATTCTGTAAAGGTCAAAAGCAATAATTTGGGTTCTGTGAATGCGAACGGGAATGGAAATTTGTCCACCACTCACCTGCAACAGGGACAAATCGTTTGAGCTGCCCGTTATCCGCATGTATCCTTCGGCATCTTCGTTTTCGTTATGCTGCAAAGAGAACAAGGAACATGAAGATTCCAGCTGCAATAATCCTTGCAAAGGAGCTCTTTGGGTGGAGGGGTTTGGTTTCTTGTTTCGCACCTGGACAATGGAAAAATCCAATGAACTTTCCAAGCCAGCAGCATCCGTGGCAGTTTTCTCAGCCATGTGGTCGCGGTTCTGGTCGTTGTCGACTCGCGTCAATTACAAACCAAGTACCAAAAACCAAACTGGGTAATGGAAAAAACAAATATAGGGCACTGGCTATCTCCTAGGAGGATATGTCCAATGTCGTGTGTCGTCGTTGATGGAGTTCGCTTCGCTAGCTATCGACATTTGCAGATATATGATGGATGCAACGAGAGCGTTTCAACCGACGTTTGTTTAGCATATCCAAATATACATAATTCTGGTGGAAATCCAGTCGAAGTTGTTGGAATTCGTGGCAAATGACGTGTTGTAGTGTTTTTGGACAAACTTACAGTGTGCCCGTATCTCGATAGACAAACAAAACCTCCCAAAAACGCTTTCTTTTCCAGTGTTGAAAGTCACTGGGAACAGAAAAGGACACTTTCCAATACTGATTTACATTTAAATTTTAAAAATTGATTACAAACCGATTTATTCAAAACCTTGACATATAAAGGCGTTTAACATAGTTAACTTAAAGATAAACCTAAGCTTAACTAAGATCCAAATGGACAGCATATTATAAATAAAATTATTTATGTTTTCTGAATAGCTCTTGTGGCGCATAGAACGGGTGGGTTCCCGTTGTTAGGATCTCTCTACAAATTGGAGGAAGAGTCTGCGGCTGTTTCGGCCACATTGTCTGCACTGCTGATGCCAATAGCTAAACTGCCGCTGCCGCTGCTGTTTGCGTTGCGTTCGCTGCGAGAACGAATCAGGAGGTTGATGAGATCAAACAGTTGGTCATCGCTGGGGCTGCACTGGAGCAGCAGCTGCTGTACAAAATCTAGACGCTCCGTGTCGGAGCGAGTGCCACTCTTGAGGATTTCTGGGACCTGGGCCAACAGGCTGCTGCGGCAGTTGTTGTTGATCTTGGACTTGGCGCAAATGTAGTCGAGCACCGAGTTCAGATTGAGCCGATCGCACACCACCGACGATAGATTCTCTCGCACAGCGTGGTCCAGAAAGTCCTTGGAATGATTCTCGGAGAGCGTCTCCAGCACATTCGTCTTGAGCTTATCGTTGTTGCTCATCTGGCTGGACAGAAACTTGGCCACTATGCTGGCACTCTTCAGAGTGGGGCCAGCGCCCTCGTCAAAGTACCGCTGCAGTACGGTATCCAGGGAGCACTGGCTCACCAGCAGATCTAGCGCCTTGTCTGTGTCCATAATAGCGAGATCCTGGCAGACAGCAACGTCACTTCTCGATTTCTTGATGCTCTCCCTAGTGTTGGCTGACCCAGCATTGGAATTGGGGGTACTATTGTGTGTCGTCGTCGTCGTTGAATCGTTCCACTTGAGGGTGGTGAAAGCATCCTCCTCCACGACATCTGAGGACTTGTCCAGCGTTTTGTCCGCTGTGGCTGACCTGGCCGTTTGCTCGTGGGCAAACTTCTCAATCTCAATGATGCTGTCCAGACGACCACGGCGCTTCAGCGCGGATGTCTGGGCGATCTTGTCCATCAGCAGACAGCGCTTGGGCTTGCTGCTGCGACTCTCATCCGCGTCACGCAGATATTCCTTAGTCACAGACACGGGTGGATCGTGGAAACTGACCCGCTTGCGCTTCAGAGCAGGCGATTCGTACGACATGGAGTCATCGATGCTCTCACAGCGCAACTTTCGCTTCAGGATGCTCACCGACGGACTGGCCGATGGTGAGGGCAGACGCTTCGAGAACACCAGCAGCTCTTTGGCCTGTATGGGTGTCGAAGTATGCTCCGTGCCCGTCAGCTCGTTCAGCTCACTGGTGGGCGTGGACACCTGATCCCCACGGTCGAGAACACGGGCCGGAGTGACCTGAATACGAGACGATATGGGGGCATAGGGCGAGATAGAGCCGCCGCCGTCCAGTTTCTTGTTGCGAATCATGTTAATCAGCTGAGCCCCGCGCCCTGTCAAATGCCCAGTTGGCTTCGGCCGCAGTGTGGGGCTGGTGGAGTTGTTGGTCTGCTTGCGATCCGGTGGAGAATTCTGCAAGCAGAAGGGAAAGCATTAGCACAATCAGTGGAAGGCCTGCTTGGCCTGCTTTGTGTACTCACCAAATTGCACAAGCGCGTGCTGGGTTTCCTTGGCGAGGTCTCCAACGCAGGAGTTGCCTCCCCACTGCTTCCGGGCAGGAATTGAGTGGAGGGTATCGGTTCCACTGGCATATCCGGTGGTGTTAGCTGGGTATCGAGAGGATTGGCCGCAGCTGCAACTGCAACTGCGACTGCAGCTGCTGCCTCTGGGAACAGATCCTCACTTAGCAAGGGGGTGGGTTTGGCGATCCTTATTTTGGCGACAGCTGAAATCGAGGCAAAACGGTTACTCGCACATGTCGTTGGGCAAAACTGGTTTTCGCTTACCTGCTGAACTCGTAGAGGGGGAAGGTAGTGGCAGTGGATGTGTCTTCTTGGGCGATCGTAGCTGTCGCTCGGGCGTGGCAGGTGGCTGTGTTTCCACTTCCTTCAGTGCTGCACGCTTCCGGGTCTGCCGCATGGGCACCTCCTCAATGGGCTCCTCCAATGGTTCCGCCAGAGTGCGTGGTTTGCGGAATTTGTTCTTTTCTGTGCTTGGTTCGGGATTGGGATTGGGATTGGCAGCCTTGCGGCTGGGAGTGACGGCAATAGCGGCTGCGGTTGCTGCGGCGGCTGGCTCGTCGACGGGCAGGCTTTCCGAGATGACAATCACATCATCATTTTCATCATCATTATTACTCTTGGCTGCGATGGCCAGCTCGCCCTGCTTGCTCTTGGCAATCACCACCTTCTTGGGTGTCCACGGTTTAATTGAGGAAGAGTCCTGCGACTGGCTCATGTCATTGTACAGGGCGGGAATGTCCGATTTCTCAGCAAAGCGCTCCTTCTGGCGATCTGTCAGCTTCTCCGGATTCAGACTCCACACGGAGGGTATGATAACAAACAGGTCCTCGCCCTTGAAGATATCCCTCAGCTGGTTGGCCATCGTCTTCATTTGCAGCTTGCGGAACTTCTCCTGAATGGACCGCTTCCACTCATCCAGAAAGCTGCCCTCGCACTTTTGCTTGTTCCAGCACTGAATGGCAGCCGATAGAGTCGGCTTTAGGGCATCAAAGACCACCATAAGTTCGTTCTGGCGCAAATCGAGGATCACATTGCGAAGCGTATTGAGACAGGCCTCCAGAATCGGCTGTGTCGGATGCTCAAACACGGCCTGGAGCATTCCGAAAACATCTTTGTATAGGGGCGGATCCTTGCAGAGGCCCAGCTTGAGCACTGCAGACACATACGCGTCGAAAAACTCGTAAAAGAGCGGCTCATCTTTGCTCTTCAGCAGATCGATCAGGGTCGTCTTTAGGTCACCCACAAACTTCTTCCTATCGGGGGCGTTCTGGCCGGCGTTGACGAGCTGTCGCCACTGCTCGCAGAAGCTGCTGTCGAAGACGTTGCTCACGCGCCGGCCGGCGAAGGCGGCGCAAGTCTGTAGGGGCCACAGCACCCAAGTGTCCAGCAGGGTGGCATTGTGCGGCAGTCGATACTCGAGCGCATTGTCCCGCAGGTAGTTGGTCATTGCCTGGGACACCTGTCGCCAGACGTGCAGCTTAACTGCAAAGTCCTCGTGATCCTCCTCCTCGTTGGGCTGCATCAGGAGCTCGGCAAAAGAGCTTAGCAAACGGAACTCGTTTTGGTTGCTGGCATCGATGTTGTCTGTGGCGAAAATCGACGATATGCATCGCTGCAAGATGGCCGGCGGCACCTCCTTCTTGGCCTTGAGGCACAGCTTCAGGTAGGCCTCGAGGACGTCCAGAAAATCGCTGCCGGCCACTCGCTTCATCTCCAGGCTCTCACTCGCTATAGTGTTGAAGACGGCTCGCACTACGCGGCCACCTGAGCCGTCGACACAGATCAGACTCGACTCGATTTCCCCGCAGCAGGCTATGTTAAAGGAGGCAATGCCCAGCCTGAACATTGCCAGGCATAGGTTGCGCATCAGCAGTTGAAGCAACAGTTGCTCCGACTCCGTGGAGTCGTTTTGGGTGAGCAGCTTCATGCCTGCCACAGCGGCCGCCAGCAGGGGCCGCCAGTGCTGCTGCAGTACCTCTGCATTCATCAATGGTGATGGCTGGGCGAGGTTCTCTATGCGTAGGTCACGCATTAGACGCTGCAGGGGCTCACTGTAGTCGACATTCCACAGCGAGACGAGACAGGGCAAGGCGAGCTCCCGGGATGACTGATAGTTGTGGGCCAATCCGGTGGCCAGTCCCCGTGGTCCGCCACCAAAGACGAAGCTGAGGAAGTGCTCGACAACATTGTCAAAGGTCTTTGGCAGCTCCGAGTGCAGACAGGTGATGAGGTACCACCAGACACGCAGCTTGATTCCGCTCACATGAGAGGAGCGCGACTGAGAAGTGCGCAGCGGTATCAAGAGCAGGCGAAGGCGCTTCGAGGATGCCAGCTCATCGTAGGCAGCAAAGATCTTTATGAGCACGCGCCAGCAAAGGAAGGCCTCGGAGCGCACTCCGTGGTCTGGATTGCGGAAGCCCAGCTCAACGATGGCCAGGAATTTGTTGATGTAGGTGCAGCCCCGCAGCAGCTCCTCGTCCATTATCTGCACCAAGAGGGTCCAGATCTTGTGCCAGTTCGGGTTCTTTGCATCTCGCATCTCACCAATCTGCGTTGTGTACTTGTCGACAAAGTCACTCCTTAATTGTTGCCAACAGCTCGCCGCATGTATCACGGACACGTCAAGAGCCACCAGAGCCTCTGCCATCGCTGCCACGGCACAGTTTTGTATCTTCCGGTCAGCGTCGAACATCAGCGGAAGAATGTCGCCCAGCCAAAACTCCACGAGTTCATTATCTGTGAAGGAAGTGCCCATCAGGCCAGTGGTCTTGCAGCTGGAAGCCAGCAGGTCTATCATCTGAGGGCACCGATATTTGTGTAATGATTGTTTGCACGGGATGGACAAAGAACGAGATTCTACTTACGGTGCAATAATTCTGACGACGACCAGCAGAAAGCACTTCTTTGGTCGACAGCTGCACTGTGTGGTATGCTTCCCCCGCTTTTGCAACGTCTTCGATATCCATTGCTGCGTGTGTGTAATATTTAAGTTGGTCAATTAAATATATAAGCAAGCAGTGCAATCCAATTTATTGCCAAAATATTTTTTTCCACAATTAAAAAAATAGTAAGAAAAGCGCGCGAACTGATGAATCTAAAGATGGGAGAAGCAGTATCGATATAAGTGTGACCGATTGACATATTTTCATTTTTCCTGCTGGTTTAAATTAAGAAAATTCGTTCATGATAATAAGCTGGCATTTTTGATACTAATTTTATGTTTGATATTCTAATTCTATACGCCATTATATACAAAATAGAATAATATAAAAATTTCACTCCATCTCATCAATAGTCGTCTGCTACATATCGAG